TGATTTTTAACCTCACTGAGAAATATACACTAATTTGATTTGAAACTTACTTAATTGTTTTATTGGTTTACCTATGATCAAATTTGGTTGAGTTATATGCCTTATTTAGGATTTTCTTTCCAGAATTATCAATTACCGTTTGCTGATTATTTTTTTCATGTGTGTTCCTGAATTTTCACCCTTCAAAATTTTATGTAATTTAATTTTTTATTTTTTTTTTCAATTCAGTGGCGCCCTTGCCATTCTGTACTTATTAAACTATTGACCCACTCCTAATAATTATTCGGTGAGCAAACTGAGCATATTATGGGCCTCTTGTTAATTTGTTAACAAAAGGGGTTACAACGTAATAACGCCAAACACTTTTCCAGCAAATTATATGTGTAGATTTTTTTAATTGTGTTAATCATTATTATAGTATCATCAATCACAATTTTGCGCATTTGCATAGAACAAAATACAGAGAATAACAGACACCTGATTCTAAATCGCCTCATTAACACAATTGAGCAAGTGACGACGTTAATTCATTTATTTCCTACTGAACTATTATAACCATATAATACCTTGGTTACGATAATCATAAACAGGGTCTTAACTCCCAAGGGAGTTAAGGATTTCATAACTCCCGCGCGGGAGTTAAGGATATCATAACTCCCAAGGGAGTTAAGGATTTCCATAACAACCGCTTTTACCTTGAATAGGTGAAACTTTGACAAAAAATAGAAATTTTGGTTTATGGTTTATTTCTTTATAAAAATGGACAAAATACAGTAAATTCAGTAGGAAATAAAATTATCTATGTACCACGGGAATTATCAGGTGTTAATACCCACGGGCAATTGGTGTCCCTCGGGACGAAGGCCCTCGGGACACAAACTTTGCCCTGGGGTATTACCACCCTCATAATTCCCTTGATACATAAATAACTATTATCACTTATAGTCAATGCTATGCGTAGATTCTAGATTTGTTGATTGCATTTGGAGTCGTTACAGTTTGTTTCAGCCGCTCAAGCACAGCTACATTTCCAGATATTTTGTGCGTGACTCTGCTTCTAGTTGATGTCCAAGATTTGTGGGCTTCCCCCAAAGAATGGCGGCTTCCTGAGTGATAGAGTACCTAACTCTTAGGGTGTTAGCCGTACCCCTTCAAGGTATTTAAACCTTTCGTAGATTAAATTTTTCTGTAGTTTCCGTTGCTTGTTCGCAAGATCTACAGTGGTCTGATTCGCCTATTGTTTCTAAGTGATATTTCACCCGGCAGTGTCCAGTGAGTTGACCAACGACTGTTCTAATGTCTCTTGTTCAGATCTCTTTGCTGAGAAAGGTATGAATCACTGATCTCAAAAATAAATGGATAAACAATCATACGGCTTGATTGGCTAAATTTGTGCGAAAATTTGGGGTCAATATTCTACGAACAGTTGTGCAACGGAACAGCCTAAAGGCCGTATCAGACGTGCCGTTGCCGATTCTGTTAGCCGTTGCCGTTGCCGCCACAGTTTCAATCACACTCAACACCGTTCCGTTACCGATTACTGGTCACTTGAAATGTTTATAACGTCAAAATGTCGCAGCTAAAATATCCAAAGTACAGCGCCGAACGTCATGGGAAAGTTTCTTCTGCATTGCTGTGCTATATGATTATATTGGAAGAAGAGGAAAGAGAAAGATCCAAACCAAAATCCGTTTGGGTGCAGTACCAGAAGTGAAAAATTGCAAAACTAAAAAAGTGACGTTTAGACACATGACACATGCTGTTCATAAAGCGCTTTCATTGGCTACGGTTCAGAACGGCCTCGTAAAATTTAGACTCCAACCTAAACAGACAACGGCAATCGCAACCAGAAGCAGGTACATTTTGATTGGTCCAATTCCCAATCGTAATCGTCAATAGTAATCGGCAACGGCACGTCTGATACGGCCTTAACGCCTGCGCAGTATCTTACTTTCGAACAACTGTTCTAAATTTTGAAATTTCCTTCATTTTCATTGGCTATATTTTGCGCACGCATAGTAAATGTATCTACTGCGCACGCTCACAGCTGTTCCAGCTGTTTACATAATGACCCCGTAAATTAGCAGCAGTAGAAGCGATCTTTGTTTATCCATTTATTTTTGAGAGCAGTGGGTAAATCTCATAGCATACGCAGATGAATTGGGTATAGTCGTGCGAGGAAAGACCAGAGAAGGACAAGGCCCAGTATGCAGTACCACGGGTGGTCTCCAGGCTGGGGGTAATGGACATACCTGTACAAGCAATACAAAGTGAGACCGTTGTCAGATACTTTGGGGTATACCCAGATAAAAACTTAAAAATGACAACAAACATCATAAGAATGGCAGAAAATACTAATAACATGATAAATGTATTATGACAATAATGCCAAAAATAGGTGACCCCAAAAGTAATAAAAGCAAAATCCTGAGTAGTGCAGTGACATCTTCAATCCTATATACCACTCTGATATGAGGGGCAGCACCACTGAAATATAAAAAATACCTAGGAATCCTAGAAAGGGTAAACAGGTGCACGGCAATAGGAATCACTTCTGCATATAGAACAGTATCAACAAACACAGGACTGGCAATTGCTGGCCCGCCACCGACTTGGCTGTGGAACACAGCCAGAAAATCTATATGGAAGAAAGATAAGTGAAAAGCGAAGCAAGAGAGACAGAGAATGAAGGCTGGGCAAAATGTCTCATCAGTGATATAAGAACCTGGATAGAATCAAGAGTGGGGAGAGGTATACTACTACACTACTCATGCAAAGACAGGACACGAAATTTTTGGAACATATCTTCAAAACAATAGAAGACAGGAAACTGATAAATGCTGGTTTTGCGAGGAGCCAGAACATACTATTTTCAATACTACAAATTTGAAAGCAAAAGATTAGAGGTAACTCTGAGATGCAGCTGCGAAATAACGAAGAACAACATAGGAGAACTCATGATATCCTCGGAGAAAAGCTTCCTAGCTGTGACGGAGGTGCTTAGGAAGATTATTAAAGAAAAAGAAAACTAAGAGAAAAGGAGAGAAGCATCAAGGCAACAACAACGTCAGGACTAGACGTACCAGATGAACCCTGAAGATTTTTCTGGGGGACAGGTTCAGGATGTCAGGTTTTTAAAGGCGGGCAATCTGTTCGAATCCGACACTATTCAGCCGCCAAACAACATGAAGGATGTCTTACAAGGATTTTCCCCTCCTGCAAAAGAATAGAAAAAAAGTTTAATTTGGCATTCAAGCTTTATAGACCGAAGGATGCGTAAGTGGCCATCCAGATCACCAGGTTTAAATGTTTTTGTCTGGAATAGCCTATAAGGCATCTATTCTCGCCTCTTTTTTCACATATAGATGAAGAGGAGACATGTTCAGCAGTGCCCCTAAGGTTGCGGTGGGGAAGGTTGATATAACCCCTGTTATTCTTAGACAGATTTGACTTGTACTTTACGGAGACTGTTCTGTGCAATTATTTGCTTAGTCTTTGGCCACCATTCCAACGACGCATAGGTGACAATGCGTCTGATAACCGTCTGGTAAATCAAATATACCATTTTTGGTCTTATCCCCCATGTTTTTCCCACGAGTTTGCGGCTTGTCCAAGTAATCGTCGTAGCTCGCGATATTTTTCTACTCAGATGGTTGTTCAAAGTAAGTTGCGGTCCAGGTTAACTTCATCCGAAAGAGATAATTGTGTACCGTTTAGAGTGGAGACTCGCAAATTTAGCTTCCTTCTTCTCGTAAACGGAACTGAGGTCATTTTGCTGGGCTTTATGGAAAGTCCTTCTTCGTTGCTCAGTTTTGGATTATATTCAAGGCACTTTGCATTCGATCTGTTATCATTCCTTCATGCTTGCTTCTGATTATTATTGCCAGATCATCTGCCTAGCATAGAACAGTTATTCCGACGTTCTGGTGAGGATGCTATCTACCACTGGTGTCCACAGAAGAGGCGGAAGGACATCACTTTGTGAGCAGCCTCTAACCGTGGTGAGAGTAACTGGTTTGCCAATACTGATCGATGTTTTAGCATGGCTTCTGTCCATGCTATACCTAATGGGAACCTCTATCCTAAAGAGCTTATTTGATAGATCGGAGTGAGGTGTTTTTAAATGCACCCTCTATGTCTATAAAAGCTACCAGAGTCTCAACTACCTTTTCTATGTCTGTTTTTAGACAATTGTTGTGGATTTGCCTGCTTGGTAGGCAAAGTGTCTTGTATGAAGCGGTCTGCTATCTAGAATTTGACTTCATTGGTTTATTGCTTTCTCCTCGGATTTAAGAAGAAATTATTTTAGGCTAATAGGTCGATAGGATTTTAGTTCATCCTCTGCCTTTGGTATGAATATCATCCCAGCCTCACTCCATTCTAGTGGAACGTAACCCAGAGTGAAGCTAGATTTGAATGTTATTTGAAGGTGTAACTTTCAGATAATTTAACACTTTTGCAGCAGGTCTAGAAAAATACTCTCCTTTCCTGGAGAATTATACGGCTTAAAGCTGTCTATCACCTATTTTATTCTTGGTTCTGAGAATTTTTCACGATTGATCCCGGAAAGTGAGTCTTCAGTAAGATATCCTTAACATTATTTTATTATTTTAGCTATCCTAAGATTTCTAAAGTCTCAATATTCAGGTGTAAAGTAACGTCTAGTTAGTCAAATAAACTTACAATTAAAATCCAGCCCAAAGGAATCAATATTTTTAATTGAAACAGAAGAGTTGCAAGATAAGAATACAAACTTTTTCTATGATAAGATGCTCCGCTTTTGGGCTTATGTGTATTCACACTAAAACTTTTATTATAATTTTTCCGGAAAATCGTTTTGTTGTCACAGCGGAAATTGTGTAAAGCTTATCTTTCAACATCGTTTTTCAATTTTAAAATAAATTGCTCGGCGGGCACGAAAAGATATGAAACGGAAATTGAAGGACCGACTTTTGGGAAATTTTATTGTGAAAACGATTGATAAATTATGTTTGTTGTAGAGATCCGAATGGTGGAGCAGTACCAAACGCCCCTCCGACGGAGAGCAAAAATCCACCGGAAAGCGAAAATGAAATACCGAAATTGCCTTATTGGGACACCTACGATACGATTAATCAATTTTATCTGGAAATGGGTAAGTTCAAATTCAAATTCGGAATTTGCATTAAATCTTCTTCCGAGAATGATGGGTGATGGGGATTTTGTATTCAGTGGAAATATCCTTACACAAATTCTCGACCTTTATTTAATCCCGCCGCTGTGCCATCGGCGATGGGAAATTATGCGGGTTGCTTGACTCTCGGTGTATAACACGAGGGTTGCATTTGTAAACGATAATTTAGTTTGATAGCTTTTGGGAGAAAAAGATTTGTTTTTGTCATATGAACACTAAATCTATGGAAAATTTAAAATTGGAAATTCACTCCGAACTGGTCAACGCGATTTTTTTTCTGAAACTATATTGTCAACTATTTAAGTAAGTATAACTCTGTACCTAGATCAATTTTATTAAAGTATGTGGACGAGTCAGTCAGCATTAATTCAGTATAAATACCGGTCCGAGATTCATTATCGGCAGACTAAGGCTAGTGGGAAGTACCTCTATTGGGAAAAACCCCTCTAGCTAAGTCTCCTACCAGTGCAAACTACCTTTATTGAGAAACGCCCTTCTGGACCTGTCTCAAAACCCAGCTCCAGTCTTTTGTCAGAATATTACTCAAAGTGTACAGAGTGTACGTAATCTACAGAGTCGCCTAAGTAGTACGTTCCTCCGTAGAAGAGATTTCATGCTATTCATAGGGTAATTTACAGGATGTTCATTTCAAAACCTACCACCTCTTTTATCTCGGAGCTGAAAAAGCACCTCTCCCCTTTCAACCCTCCAGCCCCCAAAGCCACCTCTTAGAAAATCCCAAATGGGAAGGGAGGTCAAGTGATACATCATTTTGGAGAGTTTTTAATTCCATACATTTCGGTATTCGATTTTTTGAATTTACTTGGACTTGCATGGAATTAAAAACCCTCCAAAAAGATGTATCACTTGACCCCCTTCCCATTTAGGATTTTCTGAGTGGTGGCTCTCGGGGTTTGAGGGGTTGAAAGGGAAAAGGTGTTTTTTTTTCAACTCCGAGATAATAGGGGTGATGAGTTTTAAAATGAACATCCTGTATTTCAATACATATCTTATTGTAGGTATACTTCAGTAAAACATACCCGGGTTCGTTCAGTAAGATTGAACGATGAGAATTTTTACTACCTTCCAAACAACAAATCTTCTGAAAAACGAAATGAAAAACAAATAGGACTTACGTTGTGGAAACTTACTCAATTTCACTTTTTGGACATGCGCCCGACATATTTGGGAAATTTAAGGGAAGTTGTGATATGTAAAAGAAACGAAAAATTTGTGAAACGTCTATTTTATTATAAAAGTAAATCGTACCGTTCTCATCCTGGAACTAACGAGGGGAAAGAGCACGGCAGAGAAACCCTCGATCTAACATTCCTCAAAAATCAGAACATACTGTGTCATTTTAATAATAAGTGTATTGTTCCTTGTTTAATCAACATAAAATTTGAATTACATATTTTGAAATTTCAACATATAATTTAATTAAGTCTGAAATTTCTACATATTATAAAATCCACAATTTGTTATAAATTTGGAAAGGTAATCAAAGTATCACAAACCTTGCCCAAATTTACTAAAAAAACCACGATCCATCATTCACGGCATCAGTCACCTTAATTTCCGTAATGATACAGTGTAGCGCCAATGTTTTAGATGATAAATATAGTAAGGTTCAAGTTGAAATGTACGATATAAATAGAAACCAATTTGATTAATAAAAACCAGTATTGAACAATATTACTTGGGTACTCATTTAATTACGCAAATTAGTCATTTGTGATAATTATCCACAAAGTCCTTCTCAAGAGCTTTGTACTCGTTATCTTGGTTAAAGGTAACTAGTGATCTTCAGGGAATTATTCCTGAACGTCACGCCCAGAGATACGGACCTTGGAGGCCTTACAACCCTCTAGTGAACTACAACAAAGGTCCCAATTCTGTTCATGGTCCTTCGAGCCTAACCCAAACCACTCTGCACAGTGCCATTCAGCCCCCAGGACAAAATCCGAGCCTGCGAGAGTGCCGTTCCGCCCTCATCAAACCAGACCAGCAAGGCCCCAGTCGCCGCTCAAACCCAGCAAATTTGCAAAAGTGCCATTCTGCCCCCAGGACACAATCCGAGGCTGCGAGAGTGCCGTTCCGCCCTCAACAAACTAAATCAGAAAGGCCCCAGACGCCGCTCAAATCAACAAGGTCCCAGTCGCCGCCCAAACCAAACAAATTTGCAAAAGTGCCGTTCAGCCCCCAGGACACAATCCGAGCCTATGAGAGTGCCGTTCCGCCCTCAACAAACCAAATTAGCGGCTCCAGTCGCCGCCCAAACCAACAAGGCCCTAGTCGCCGCCCAAACCAACAAGGCCCCAGTCGCCACCCAAACCAAACCGATTACGGAAGGGCCGTTCAGCCCCCAGGATACAAACCTTCGATAGAGCCGTTTAGTCCCCAGAAATCAACAAACTTCAAGAAAGAGCCATCTTAGCCCTAAAATGGAGGAGACAAATAGCTTGGCTGCGAAGCAGCAAGAGCTAGGCAATGAGATTGTAAAAAATCTTAGCAACTGGATCTTTTTCCAGTTCGCGAAAGAAAAACCACATCATACGTCGTTTCCCGTATGGCCATACTAGACAAGATATGGGAGAGTGTCGAGAAGAATCACAAAGATATGAAAGCATTGAGAATAATTAATCACAACTACTTCACATCCAACTATTACGAACAGATAAAAAGCAAATACATAGAATCATCGAAATATCTCCAAGAATGTACCAAAAGTGATAAATCACCAACAAGAAGGAATCAAACAGCAGAAGAAAAGCTAAACTTACAAAGTAGGATGGCCGAAGCAATTCAAGAACTAACTTAGTTAATTTCCAACATTCAAGAGGAATTGTCCGAAAATAAGTCAGCAAACTATTATGAAAGGTCACTCAAAGAGCTTGAGGAAAAATGGAACTTAATACTATACCAAAATGAAATAAGACGAGCATTAACGCAAGTAGACGAAGAAAACGTCACAACTCAGCTCGAAATAAGGCTCAAGTATCGGAAAACTTTGGATGCCAATAAGGAAAAAATCAAGAAGTGTCAAATGGCGCCGAGCACGAGCCTCCCAGCGTTAAAATTGCCTATATTCAACGGTAGATATGAAGATTGGCCAGCTTTCCATGATCTCTTCTCAAGAATTATCCATTTCAACCAAAGCATCAGCAATTCAGAAAAGATGCAATTCCTGAAAACTCAGCTACGTGGTGATCCTCAGAACCTTATCAAGCATTTAGCTGTAACAGAAACGAACTACGAAACGGCATGGAAATTGTTGAAAGGACGGTATCAAAACGACCGTCTAATTGTATCACAGATCAACTAATACAGATGCGTAAGTACGTATACTTGCCGTCGGCGATATTCTGTGACGAAGCCGGGGGGCCAGCACTCCGACACATAGATACAGATCGCCCGCGTCAGGACAATTAACGTGGCAGAGTGCGTGAGCATGCTCCAGCCTGTGTGCTTACATATTTTTGCAGGTAGAAAAGAACATTTTTTTGCTGTTTGTGAACCAATTAAAGAAATAATATTATATTATTGAGCTTCCGCATTTATAAAATAAATATGTTCAAAATACATTGATGCGAAATTGGTGCGGCCAGCCTATGTCTATCAAATTAATCTTGAACCACGAATTCGCCGCTCTTTCGCATCTGTATGTAGGGTAATCTGTGGTTGTATCGAAACTAGTAGACCGAATCCTGGATATTCCAGAATTGACGAAGGAATCAGCAGAAAAAATTAAAAATTTGCACGATGTCACAAATGAATGCCTAGAAGTCATAAAAAATTTGGGTTCTGACACCAGCACATGGGGACCCATTATTGGGAGAATAATAGCCAGAAAATGGGACAATGAAACAAACAAACTCTACGAGCAACAGTTGGTAGACCTACATCAAGTGCACTGACCTTGAAAAGACGATTCCATTGACGGTAGCCGACAGGAGAAAGACCGTAAGAGAGAAACATCTCTGCATGAACTGCATAAATCACAATTTCAGAGAAAACTGTAAAAGCACACTGAAATGCAGAATATGCAATCAGCATCATCATACTTCACTACACCAAGAAAGACGACCTCCACAGGTCCAAGACAGAAGAAACTACCCACGGGATGACAGGCGAAATTACCCACGAAAAGAAAGGCGAGCAAATGGAAGTACCCACCATACTACCGCGCAAAAAAAAAGAATGTTCGAAAACTGTCAAAAAGAAGTTTCAATCAAAGGTTGAAGGCTGTGTGCACGCTTGGAAATGAGGAGGAATGAAAGTTGTGTATTTTCGTGCAAAATATTTAATTTTTCAAAATCAGTGCAGAGCGCTTTCGGCGTTTGTTTGGACGTTTGTCTGTCTCGAGGTGTCAACTGTCTTTGATAATCTTCATGTCAATTCAAAATTTGAAAGTCATCTTCATTCGATGGGTTCTGGTTTCCGAACGACACGTTTTAAATTAAAATTCTAAAAATCCTAAATTTGGGATTTAACACAAAGATTATACTTTCAGAGACTACGATGAAGTAAGGCATAACTGACCAAAATGTTTTAAAGTTCAGCAGATTGGACCCTAAAGCCAGCATTGTGAGAGAATTTTTACAGCTCAGTTCCTTTATATAAAAAAATGTGATATAAGATTCTAATTTTAAAGTGTTGTTGTTGTTACGTACGTACTTGTCCAATGTGTCGTCCCGATTTTGTTGGATTTTTCTGCACTGATTACCTGACGAAGTAAGTAGGCTAGACCCCATTCTCAATCTTTCCTTTTTTTAGCATTATTTTATAAAGTTAAGGTCTCCCTTCTACTTCCAGGTAGCACTGATGATGGCCTAAGGCCGAAAGCGCTCTGCACTGATTTTGAAAAATTAAATATTTTGCACGAAAATACACAACTTTCATTCCTCCTCAAAAAGAAGTTTTACTAGCAACAGCAGTGGTTACGAGTTACTCAGCGACAG